ACCCACCTCTCCAGCTCCCAGCACACTGGGGAAACATCACATAACCCAGAGAGCATCTTCCAGGCTGTCAGAGCCTTTGTAGCTGGGCTAGCTCTGCAGAGTTGCTCCTCCAGCCTTTGGCACTCCAGTTGTAGTTCAGTGTGTCAGGGACTGAGCTGCAGCTGGGGCTGTGCAATTAGAGTTTCTTGTGCCATCCCTCAGTGCTCCTCCCATTCCTGCTTTGACAGCTCAGTACCGGCTGTAGTAGCACTAGCTAGTATTAGCTAGTCTCTGACAGGCTTTTGCCCACAAACTGCATAGAAGTTCCCAGAAGGCTTCAATAATATTTAACTGCTTTTTGTTCTTTGTGCAGGACAAAAGAAAGCTCCCAAAGTAAGAATTAACTGCTCACTGCTCTGCATGCAGCTACATTCTGTACCAGGCATGCACATCCCTGTTCTTAGGGTAGGAAATAATGCTCAAAAACTCAGCAAATTTTCCTATTTGGTATCCTGAGTTTCTGTAGTGAAATGACTTTAGAAATAAACAGATGTCTGGGTTTCAGGGCTGTGTCTTTCCTGGAGTCACTGGAATTACCCTGGCAATTAAACTGGTCTCCCAGGAGGAGGTGTACATACCTCTAGCTAGCCCTGTTAGCTGGCTACTAACTGAGCAGGCAAGGAAGTCACCTACTTACACAGTAGCTTGTCCACTGAGGGGTCTCTTGGATCTTCTTATGCAGCAACCCCAGGTAGGAGACCCTCAGATCTTCTGAATGGGAATTTCTGTATTCCTAGGAGTGCTGACTGTTGCTAGAGCCAAACTGTGGATGCACAGACTGGGACTTACTGAGGGCTGCCTTGGAGCATGGAGATTGGCTATAACACTGTTTTTCTCTTATCTTGGCGTCAAAAGAGTGTTAGTTACATGAATGTCACACCTCAAAACAACCCTGCTTCATGACACTTTGCAGCAACCTGAGCCATTTTGCAGAGCAGGCTGTGTCGAGGGCAATTCACTGCTGAATTGAGGATCTAGAGAATATTCTCCAGGCTGGGTCCTGTGCTGTTGTAACAGAAGTTTGAAAGGTAATGAGGTGAGCTTGGCTGCAATAGGAGGTGCCTGACTGCAGGACAGATCTTTTGCTGTGTTACACATCATGAGTCACAGCTGTGTGCAGTGTTTAGGGACAGCTCTGGCAGTCACACCACAGAGGCAGCATCTGAAGCAGCGTTACACACAGCAGTCACGACTCTCTTACAGAGACTTCTAAACTGTAACACTGTGACATGCAAGTGTTGGTCGAGAAACCAAACACCTCCCCCTGTTTGTATGTACATCTGGGGGTGGTGCTTTCTGCTGCTTATTGAGCAAAGAAAACTGGCAACCTCTGGCCTGCAGCACAAACCAGAGCCATGCTGTAACCAGGTCTGCTGTTGGGTTTTGAAAGTGCAGGCACATTTCACACCTCTAAAGTGCATAAGAAAGGATAGTCGTGCCCCTCTTGGCATTCAGGGCACTTTGCAGGACAGAGTGCCTGGGTGTGTGCAGGTGTCCGTAACCATGGGAACTGTTTGGGGATTTCTCAGACAGAGAGCTATAACCCACCTGAAGGAGTAGCTGTATTGATGCTACTGCCATTTCTTTTGGGAGATCCTCTTTGTAGATCTGGTCAGGACAGTGCAAAACATGGAAACAGAGCTGGTGTGGACCAGGTGATTCTTGGTGCCCACAGTGTGTAACCATGGGATGGATTTACACCCTTGCCAACAACCACACCTGTCTGTCTTCTGCTGGGCAGACTTGGGCCTGCATTTTCTGCTGTGGCTCATCTTGCTGTGCAGGGCTGTGCTGGGTTGTCAGCCCCAGGCTGGTAGCAATGCTCTTCTCAAGCAGGCAGTGTGAATAGGTGCCCAGGTCTTCCTAGAGTGCCTAGCAGCTCCAGCATGATCAGACAGTTGTCAACATGCAAACGTGGCTGATGAATTTTTGTGTTGTGTAAAACACTACTTGTATAACCATGGCAGAGTAGTGTGTCAAGCTCCTGTTACAAAACCATAATTGCCTTTCTGTTGTCTATATAAGTTTGGCAAAATTAGGGCAGGATTATTCCATTGATTACCTGATGGGACCTGTTCAACGAGGCTGTTCCCACACTCCCTCCAACCCAAGATCAGACCCATTCTTATACAAAATAGGTGTTAGTGTGTGTAGTTATTGTTTTTAAATGTGTTTCTGTCCCAGTGTGGGTCCCATTTACACAGCTTGAAGCTCACCAAATTGGAGAGCAGCCATATGACTGCAGCGGGGAGTTGTGCTTTTCATCTGGGTTAGGTTTAGGCTGTGCACATAATCAGGGGTTTAATACAAAGCAGCAGCAAAACAATTCCTGCTTGTAACTGCCAGCTCCTGCCACAGGTGTGGTGGGAGCTGTTGCAAGGTTAGACTTGTGATTTTATCATTGTGTTAGTTAAACTTTGTGTAAAGCTTGATTCATGGTGGTGGCAAGGATAGGAGCAGCCTTTGGGAAGCTGGCTGTCCCCTGAATCCCACTGCAGCTGAATCACTGAGATGTTTGGAGCTGTCGCTAGCGTGGAAGAGCTCTCTTGATGCATATGTGTCAGGAATGTGGGCTGAGGCACAGATTGTGTTCCTCACCTCAGAACTTGTATTGGCAGGACAAACACCAGCCTGAGCAGACGTGGCTGTGGCAGATGAGGGCTTATACTCAGTGCGGGACCAAATTTATCATCAAATTTTGGGCTTCGGGCTCCTGGTCAGATGAGAATTATATTTTAAAAACTCTATCTGATCCAGCTGTGTGTAGGTTTGACCAGAGCTCCTATTACATATCATTAAGAGGAAAGAAAAGGTAAAATGCAGAAATAGAATGAGTCTACATAGGGCTTGCAGAACACATCTGTAAACATAGAGGAGACATAATAATCTGGGCTCCTGAGCCTTTAGGTTTTGCTATTATCAACCTTGTCCTGAAGACACCCTTGCCTGGCACAGTGCAGGTGGCAGGTTGGCTGCTGGAGGAGGTGACGTGGGCAGTTGCTGGAGTGTGGGGAGGGAAGAGCTTCCTTTTCCAAACAAGCATAGCTTTGTGCTCCCTGGTGCCTTGTCAAGGTCCTCGGGCCCAGGGTGAGATGGCAGCAGTGTGTAACCATGGCAGTGTTTGTCTCCGGTTTAATGACTCATCCGGGAGCATGTGATCACGTGTGCAGCCTCCCTGCTTCCCTTTGCCCTATTTCATCCAATCTTTTGATCTAGTTATATAACCAGGAGTCAAGAGGGGTGGGGGGAAGGAAACAGTGCTGAAGAATTGCAGGTAATTTGACTAAAATGTGTCTGTAGCTCAAATAGCAGAGTTGATGTCTGGGAAGCCTGAGAAACTGGGTTTATTCCCAGCACAGTTCTCTCTCTAAAAGTGAGCTGATGCTTGATATCTGAGCTTGTTAGTCTAAGGAGGCATGGTGGGAGGACAGGGCTCCAAGACCTTGGCTGTGGTAGGAGAACTGCTGTGCTTGTAGCAGTGAACCCCTTTGCCTTAATCTTCGTATCAATAACTCTCCTTGCATTTATCATGGGATCTGTTCCATCCTGTAAGCTGTGGATACCTGGTTTTCCAGTATGTGTAGGGCTTGCAGAGACAGATATTAACAGAAAATGCTTGAGCTGCTCTGCCAGTACTGGTCCATGGTGGGCTGAGCTCTGAAGTCCTAAATCTGTTCTGACATAGACTTGCAGCAAATGCTGGGGTGGGTCTGGTGGGATGTCTGGAGAGGAAGTTTGCAAAGTTGGTGCTTTTGAACAAGGTGTGAATCTACTGCTTGTCATCTCAATTTTAAGATGTGATGCAGGAGATAAGGTTAATTTAATGGGCATATCAACATGACAGCTGTAGGTGCAATGTGCTGTACTGAAGCATCCTTCAAGCTCCCAGCATTTTGAGAAGAAATGCTCTCTGTCTCCAGATCCCTCAGAGTCACAGTGTGATGCTTGTTGGTTCTGTATTACTTCATCTGCCACATTCCTCTGCACTGATGTCTTCTTTCCTTCAAAGTTCTGTCTAAGTGTCATTTCAGTTCAGTCATTAGCTCAGATACACAATGTAAGCAAGAAAGCTGATTACAAGATGAAGTTCAGGGTATCTCTTTGCCTGACACAAGGGGACAAGATGCTTCAAAGAAGCTATTACAACGCTTGTCAGAAACAGTTTGCTTCAAGGGAAGCTTTTGAACAGAAACATTTCCTTTCTTTGCTCTGGAAGCATTAGCTTGGTCACTGGCAGCCTGTTGAAGAGCCAAGTGTCACATAGAACAAGGTGTCATTTCACATTGTGTTTTAAGAGTGGAATCAGGCACAAATGGAAGTCTGAAAATCAGAGAATGAAGAGAAAAAAGAATGCATGTGATTTACAATATAGGAAGAATATTGCCACTTACATTTTGTTTGACAAAAAGCTTGTTGGAAATTACCATTTAAACCATCAGAGTGAAGCTTGGTACTAAAACCACTGAGCTGCCTGCTGAGCCATGACCCAGTGTTTGAACCAGATAACCTTTTACATACTGGGTTCTGTTGACTTGGGAGATGGTTACACAGGTGTCATATAGATGGAAATTTCTGCCCTACTTGAATGATGTGAAACAAAGAAGAGATTCAAGTTCCTGTTTTTAATCAGAGCTTATCAGGCCTTCATGGAAAAACACTCTTGGGATAGCAAGTCCTCCACATGGACCTAAATAATCTGCCTTGTTTTCTTGTCAGGGCACTTTTGGGCTGTGTTGAGGGGTGTTAGTCTTGGCTTTCACTAGGGATGCACCCTTCACTGTAAAATTTTTGAACTCCCTTTGACTGTCAGAAAGGACCCCAGCTTTGACCCTCAGAGTGACATGCTTGCAAATGAGTGAGAGTAGGTCTTGTCAGTTCCTGTTCAGCTCAAGCCCTGCTGATTGCTGATGGAAGGGCCAGGCTGGCAGAGCTGTTCCCATGCCATGTTGTTCCCCTTGCAGACCAACCCCAGGAAGCCGTGTTCAGCGGTGACCATGCGGAGCACGCGGAGGATGGAGAGTGGCAGCGCTCGACTTCAACTACCTCATCTCAGAGCGAGCGGGCAGAGCAACTCTTGCAGAACCAGCACAAGAGCCTGGCCTCTGAGGACACCAAAAAGAAGAGGGCTCAGAAACCGTCTCACATGCGGAGGAACATAAGGTAAGCAGCAGCAGCAGCAGGACAGAAAGAGCTCGGGTCACATATGGTGGTGAAAACAGAATCTCTGCACTTTGCTTCTGAGCTACATTGTGCCACTGCTGGCAAACCAGATGGTTTTTCTTTTCCAAAACCTTAGGATTTCACCAGTGGGAGTAGAGTGATCTCAGACTGGAGTGCTGCATGTGGGTGCAGACTTGTTTGGTATTTCAGAAGAGTGAATATTTGGTTATGGAATATATTCCAAAAATTGTGTAATTGCTGCTGTATTTTGAGAGATGTAATTGAAAAACAGTACCACCATTAAGTAAATACCAGTTTCAGATATTTGCTGAGGTGAATCCTATTCCAAACAGCCTAAAATACAGTTCTTTCCTGTACTATCCTGGGTACTTGTTGACAGGAATGCTGATGCTATGACTAGCAACTAAAATGCTAAGTCAATTTCACCTGGATTTTATAAAGCAGTAGTTGTTTGATTGAGTAATTCACCACATATCCTGGGACAGGTTGTGAGGTGGTAAATCACTAGGAAATTTTGCTCAAGGGAATTTTATAAGCTCAGAGGAGAAGTAATGGAGCAGGAACCCCTGTGGCAGCAAGTGGCTCTCATACCCTGTGCTGGTGGTCTTTGGTTCCTATTTAAGCTTGTGCAGATTGGTTTCTTAAAGCTGAAGAAATAAGCATCGAATAGGCCCTGAAAAATGGGACTTCATTAGGATGAAGGAGATGTCCATGAAGTGTGGGGTGAGTGGTTTTAAAGGCTAGTTTGAGCGAGCTAGATTTTACCACTGCTTGTACTGCACCTCTCCTCTGGAAAAAGTACCATGTGACACTGAAGCAGGGGAAAAGCAACTTCTGGAAGTAAATAAAATTACCTGTAAAGGGAAGGTGCTTTGAGGGAATGCCTTGAAACAATTGTTAAAACCATTAGAGATCCTAGCTCCTCAAAGTGCTGTCAGCTGAGAATTGGGGTGATGATTTTTTGTGCGGGAATTGTTGCATTTTTTCCCCATATATCTTCTTTGCATGACTTAGTGCATTTTGTGTTTATAAACTGTGTATCAATAAAAAAACACCCTTGCAAGCAGAAGAACTGGTCTCTGGTAACCTAGATTAAGTATGTGCTTGCCCACTTACCTCTTTCCTCCTTTCCTTACTTTGCTTCTGTTGAACTTTTGTCTTTTCCTTGAGTGATGGTAGTTTTATCTGTAGTGTTGAAATAGCTGCAGAATTTGCCCATATCTTTTGGGGGATGATGTTCCTACTCTGTGTGGCTGACAGAATACCTGGAGCTTGTCAGTCCTCTTTGCAGCAGCTGTGTAGCTGTTCATATTTTTGGAAGGAATGGAGGGTAACCAAATCCCATTTGCCCCTGTGTTCAGAAAGCTGTTGCGTGAGGACCAACTGGAAGCCGTGACAAAGGCAGCCCAGCAGGAAGAGTTGGAGAGAAGGAAACGGCTTGAGCAGCAGCGGAAGGATTACCCAGCCTCTATACCAACTGTTCCCCTGGAGTTTCTTCCTGGTAAGCACTGGGAGATGCCAGCCAAAGCAAGAGTTTTAAGGATAGATGCTGAATGAAGAAGGTAGTGCCATGCTTGTCCATGATAGGACAAGGGGTAATGGTTTTGACTTAAAGGAAGGTAGATTCAGGCTAGATACAAGGAAGAAATGCTTTACAATGAGGGTGCTGAAACACTGGCACAGGTTATGCAGAGATGTGATAAATGCCCCACTCCTGGAAACATTCAAGGTCAGGGTGGATTGAGCTTTGAGCAACCAGATGTAGTTGAAGATATCCCTGTTCAGTGTGGAGGGGTTGGATTAGATGACCTTTGAAGGGTCCTTCCAACCCCAAACATTCTGTGATTCTATGCTGTACTTGTACTTTTGAGTGTAAACTCTTGGAACAGCAGTTCCAAACCTCTTGTAGGTTCACTGTAGGCAGTTCCACTTCTGCCCTTGTTTCCTATTAAGGATACAGTGGCTGTTTGGTGAAAGGTGCCAGGTAATGTTTGTTGAAGATATTTTGACGCACATCAAGAGTGTGTAGGGGGATGCTGAAACAGATCTCTTGTCTTTCCAGCTGGTATGGGAGCTTAAATCAACAGGCTTGGCAGAAATGCCAGATCCTGTTTGTCCTGGGAATGGTCTGGTAACACGGGTGTCTGGTACTGGGGATAGTGGAGCAATAGACTGGGTGCACATATGTTGGTGATGTAACCTTGGCCTTCTTGCATGTTTGGCAAGCAGTGAGTTGCAGACAGTATAAATGGTTAAGCATCACTCGTGTCTTTGGGTGAATATGTTACCTTGCATTGTTTCTCAATCTGGATCCTTTTGGTGATTTAGTTTATAGCACAGCTTCAAAAGGTATAAAGGGCAGAGAAGTGCAGCTGGATGTTGGGCAAGGGTAAGGAATTCTTGAGTTGGCCTTGCCTCTTGAAGAAAGAGATATTTTCCCATATGTGTAAGTGTTAAAAACACTTTTACACGTGGGAGAAGGAATAAGAGCTGTTTAAAACACTTTGGCTTATGCAGAGTAGGTTCAGCCCCAGAAGAATGTCGTTGTTTGCTGTGTCACTGCAGTGATGCTGTTTGGCCCCATTAGCCTCTCCTCCACATGGCAGCACTAAAAACATACAAACAAATGCTCTTGATCAGCAAAAGTTGTTTATGATATGTGGGATGTAATTATTACAGTGTCCCTACTAACAAAGAGCAGTTATTATCCCTTCAGCAGTTTTCTACTCTCTCTACTGGATGAAACACAGCTTTTACTGAGACCAAAAAAAGAGAAACAAAGGGCTTTAGCATGTTGCATGGTCAGTGTGCCCCAGTCAGGGCATGAAACAGAGGGTGCCATCAGCAATGGGCTATTGTTTCAGCATATTGAGAATGGAGGAGATTGTGACCCAGGAAGCTGAGTCATAGCAGGATTGTAGACAGTAAGAGTCTGTTATGGAAAATTCCAGGACTAAGTTATTGGAGCTAAAGTGGAAGGAAATACTGTCTGGTTTCTGAACAGTTTTGTCTCCTTCCCCATTATTATGAATTACTTATTGTTTGTAATTTATGTTTGTAGAGGACATAGTTTTCAGAACAGCAGAGGCAACCCAGCTCCCCCCTCAGGTCCTGGCTGAGGAAGTGATCTGCCTCGACAGTACCAGCAGTGGCAGTGAAGATGATACTAAAGGAAAAAATAGCATTAAGGATGGTAAGTGACCAATTGCCTCAGCCTGCTCTTCTCACAATATGCTGTTTATTCTGCCACAAGTCTGTTTTCATCTGTTCAGATGCTCCAGTGGTGAATCACTTCAGACTTTTGTAGGCCTTTTGGTTTCCAATTATATGGGCAGTTCTGGCCTGTGAGTCCTAAAATGACATTTGTAAAATGGCCTGTTAGGCTCTCTTGTGAATTTGTGTTTATTTCTGCTTTATAAATTCACTTGATTTTGCCCAGTGCATTGCTGAAGAATGCTTACAGGACATGTGGCACCATTTGCTGTGTGTAAAAGGAGCATCTAAGTATTCAGATATGCAGCAGGAAGTGGTTTTGTGTCCCTTGTCCCAAATGGATTCATCTGGACTCCTTGGTGATCCTTAGACATTATATCAATCAATAAAATTCATGTCTGGGCTTGGGAATTAAGAAGACATATGGAAGAGAATGTAAAACACTCCTAGAAATTCTCTCATGTTCTCTTTGAATCAGCCCAAGTTAATGTTCCCTGAAACATCTGGAAGCCAGGGAAGCTTTCATATGTTGGTCTGAGGGGCGTGGTGTATGCCTGTATGATGTCTGCTTGTTCAGCATACATCATTAGGCCAGGGTGGAATTGCAAAAGCTGGAGGTAGCCTTATTTCCTGATAGGTTTTTTCCATTCATGATAAACCCTGATGTCAAGTTAACTTTGTCCTTATTCTCTCCTGTTTTGGTTACTTTGCAGAAGTGATTGAGCTGAGCTCAGGAGAGGATGATGCCCTCCAAATTGTGGACAGCAGTGACTCTGGCAATGAGGGGGAGGAGGATGGCAGTGAAGAGAGCAGTGGCTCTCATGTGAATGATGCCTTAAATCAGTCAGATGCTCTGGGGCAAGTCATTGTCAACATCAATCATCCACCAAATGAGGAGGACATTTTCCTGGCTCCCCAGCTTGCACGTGCAGTGAAACCTCATCAGGTAGGCTTTGTTAGCCTTGAAAATGCAATGAATTCAGGCAAGCCTGCCTGGGAGTCTCAGAAGAACTTCTTTGGTGAGCCCTGTGACTAATCTGGTTGTGGTGGTGACTGTTGTGGACAGTCAAATGATAAAACTGAACTAGAGAATGGCCAAGGCTCTGTATAACTTCAGCTGCTGTTACTATTAGACCTTTGTATATTTAGATGAACTTTTAAAAATAAAATAATATTTATAAACAAACTAATCAACCCTAATTCAGATCCTCTGGCTACACATTAATTTTGATTTATTGATAAATTCTCAGGAAATTCTATGGACATCTAAAAATACTGTTTTCCCTAGATTAGAGTAGTTTAATGAACTTGAAACATGCCCTTTACATTTTCATGGTCCTCATGCACTCTGTAAATCCTTACCCATCTCAGACTTTTTGTCTGGCACCATTCTAACACTTTTTCTACTTTTCTGCCTAGATTGGTGGAATCCGATTCCTTTATGACAACTTGGTTGAGTCCTTGGAGAGATTTAAAACCAGCAGTGGGTTTGGGTGTATTTTAGCACATAGTATGGGCCTGGGCAAGACCATACAGGTGATCTCTTTCTTGGATGTACTTTTTCGGCACACGGAGGCAAAGACTGTTCTTGCCATTGTACCTGTAAGTAGCCACATGAAGGGCTGGCTGAGGGGCTTCCCTACACTGCTTCTTTCTATGCATAGAGAAGGTTGATTAGTGTCCCATCACTCATCAAGCTCTATCACATCCTTGCTGCTCTTACCCCTCTATCATACCCTGTGTTCCTGAATTTGCATGCTGTGAGCTGCTGCTTCCATCTGGGCATGCTGGATGTCATTCCCTAATCTCATTTCTGCTCTTAAAAATCTCAAGTGACTCAATTGGGTTTTTAATTCTTCCATGGCTAACTTTTCCAGGTGAATACGCTTCAAAACTGGCTAGCAGAGTTCAACATGTGGCTCCCAGCACCTGAAAACCTTCCTGCTGATTATAACTCCAAAGAGGTCCAGCCCCGCACCTTCAAAGTCCACATCCTGAATGATGAACACAAGTAGGTGACAGTAAAAGCTTTTCTGAGCTCTTGGCTCAGGGACCTCTGCTTCTTCCTGGGTCATTTTCCTTGCATGGATCAGGGCAGTGCAATGGTCCTGGGGAATTCTCAGTTCATTAGCTGTGTCTATACACCTACCTGTTGGTATCTTCACCTTCTGGGTGGGATATATTTGAATCTGCTGATGCTGCTTCAGCCATGTATTTACTGTTGGCCAGGATCTGGTGTACTGTGGTGGGCTGAGTGAAGACAGTGTCTTGATCTGAACCAATTCTGAGTAGGCTGGAAGGGAAGGAAGCCTGGGGGACAGGAGCACTTAAGGAGACAACAGAGGATAAACAACTGGAAGATTACAACCATCTGCATTGGCAACTTGTTCTGCAAATGGTTTTTGCAGAGGCAAACTCAGCAGCTCTATAAAAAGGGAACTCTTGAGTTCTATATGCTTTTGTGCATGACAAACTTCTACACCTCAGTTCCTGTAAGGATTTGTCATTCTCAGTCCTGCTCCATGGCACATAAAAGGCTCCCCCCGCCCCACCCCATATCTGTTTGTTTCCTAAAGAAATTTCATTGTAAACCTCCATCTGGTTTGATGTGAGAAACATGCTTTAAAATACCTATTGAATGGGTATTTTTTCTCAGCATACTCCAATCCAGTGATTCAACCTGATATTGGAGTAAAGCTTAGAGTTTATTTGGTTGTTTTACAGGACGACAGCTGCACGAGCAAAGGTGGTGAATGACTGGGTGACAGAAGGTGGTGTGCTGCTGATGGGATATGAGATGTACCGTCTCCTCTCACTGAAGAAGTCCTTTGCCACTGGCAGGAAGAAGAGAACAAAGAAACAAACTGGCCCTGTCATTATTGACTTGGATGAGGAAGACCGGCAGCAGGAGCTTCTGAAAGGTGAGAAGTCAGCCCTCAAGAGGGGAGAGTGTGGCCCTGCTGTCCAGCTGGCTGTCAGCTGTGGCAACACAGGGAAACAACCTATAACTTGCTTTTAGTATCACTGACATGATAGAACTTTGCTGGGCGGGATTATGTCTTTGGAGGCAGAAGGTTGTTGAGCTTTGTATGAGTCTTTAATTTCTTGAAAGAGCTCCAAGTAAGTGTGGAATTCAGTACACTGAACTCTGGGATTTGTCATTGTGAGATTTGCCACTCTGATTTGATGCAAGACACCCAACTTGATGCAATGCAGGTCACTGAACAGAAATCAAGGGACAGTCGTGTTTGCTCATTACCACATTTTGCTAAATCAGAACTACTGTCTAGTCAAATGTTATCTCCTGCATCAGCCTCGCTCTCTGCACCCACGGATACTGCTTTTTTGTCTTTCAGAAATACCCCTCTATTGTGTAGCTGGTGGCCTTATAAAACCAGAACTTTGTCTTATTCATCTCTAACTAACACTTAATGTCCCTTGTCCTCAGGGATTGAGAAGGCTTTGTCTCGCCCTGGCCCAGACGTGGTTATTTGTGACGAAGGACACCGGATCAAGAACTGCCACGCCAGCACCTCGCAGGCACTGAAGAACATCCGCTCGCGCCGGCGGGTGGTGCTGACCGGGTACCCCCTGCAGAACAACCTCATCGAGTACTGGTGCATGGTGGACTTTGTCCGGCCTGACTTCCTGGGCTCGCGGCAGGAGTTCAGCAACATGTTTGAGCGGCCCATCCTGAACGGGCAGTGCATCGACAGCACCCCCCAGGACGTGCGGCTGATGCGCTACCGCAGCCACGTCCTGCACAGCCTGCTCGAGGGCTTCGTGCAGCGGTGAGTCCAAGGGCAGCTCTCAGGGGTGTAGTCCATGCAAACAGCTCCTGCATCACAAGTTACCTGGCTTGTTTGCTGAGTTTGTGCAGTGCAACTGAATTTTGATGCCTTATAGAATCATGGAATCGTTTAGGTTGGAAAAGACCTGTAAGATCATCAAGTCCAACCGTTAACCCAGCACAGCCACCACTAAAGCTTGTCCCCAGGTGCCACACCTACGAGTCTTTTAAATCTCTCCAGGATTGGTGACTCCACCACTTCCCTGAACAGCCTGTTCCAATGTCTGGCCACCCTTTCCATGAAGAAATTTTTTCCAATATCCAGTCAAAAGCTCCCTGGAACAATATGAAGCCATTTTCTCTCATCCCATTTTCTCTTGCTATTTGTCTTCTCCTCTTGTTATGTGGGAGAAGAGACTGTTCCCTTCCTGGATATAACCAGGTACTTGTGGAGAGAGAGGTTCCCCCAAAGCCTCCTTTACTGCAGGCAGAACCCCCTCAGCTGTTCCTCATCAGACTTGTGCTCCAGACCCTTCCCCAGCACTGTTGCCTGAATCTGGACATGCTCCAGCACCTCACTGTCTTGTAGTGAGGGACCCAAAACAGAACCCAAGATTTAAGGTGGGGCCTCACCAATGCTGAGTACTGGGAGAGGTCCACTGCCCTGGCCTGCTGGCCACGCTATAAAGTTGGTTTGCTTTGTTATCAGACCACAGACTCTGATAACAGAGAACTACACCTCTAGCTGCCCTGGAGTGACCTCAGGTTTATTTTGATGGCTTAATAGCCAATTTGGATGTATGCTTTGTGACATCCTTGTCTTAGAACCTGAAAGTGTTTTGTAAAAGTGTTAAGGAAAGTCACAGTGACTCCACCACTCTGGAAACAAATCAGCATTTTTTTCTCAGATGAGGATTCTGAGATGCTGGTCTGGAGTGTCTTAATCATTAGCAGAGCTGAAAATAGACTTTATGTCTTATTTCTGGTTTTCAGCTACCATGGAAAACAGGACTTTCATCACCCTCTTAACTCTGTGACCTGTGCTAGAAGATTGTAATGTTTGAGATCTTTGTAATTGTGTTTACAATCGGTATTTGGCTACAGGGAGAGTGTCTCAGAAGTGTCATGCATTAGAGAAACATACAATTTAGAGGTCCTTCTTCCTGCAGCTGGGTGGGCAAGAAGTCAAAATCTTTCCCTACAGGCAGCCCCAGGGAGATCCTAATGGGAAATTCCCTTCCCCTGTATTTATCTCACTCTTCTTATTTCCTCCACAGGCGAGGCCACAACGTGCTGAAGGTTCAGCTCCCATCTAAGGAAGAGCACGTCATTCTGGTACGTCTGTCCAAGATCCAGCGGGCCCTTTACACGGAGTTCATGAACCGGTTCCGGGATGCTGGCAACAGTGGCTGGCTGGGGCTGAACCCACTCAAAGCTTTCTGTGTCTGTTGTAAGGTATGTTTTGACAGAAGATGTAAAGAAAGATTCTAATCTGAAATGGGGAAAGGGGAATATAAGTCAAAAGAGGAGGTAAAAGTGTGGTTGGCCAGGGACATCATCTCTACCCAGAGTGCTCTGCAGTGGTTCAACAGTATTGTTATCTTTGTTTTCAGAACTGGGATGCAGGGATGTTAAATGTCTCTTTCAAACTGTTCAAGAAACCTGCTGGCATCAGCTGAAACAATCTGGGCTGATACCTTAAACTGCATAACTGTACCTGCTTAGTGCAATCAGGCAGCTTTCTCTGCCTTTGTGCTGTGTGGGGTGCACAGTGACCTCCTGGTTTGTTCTCAAGGAAACAATTGGACACATTTAAAGATATGAGAGCCAGAAGAAGTATTAGTTCTTTTCTTTGAATAGCTCTCGGAGCTTTCAGGTAACAATCATTGGCAAGCATCAGACCGGTGCAGGTCTAACCACTTCCTTTCTTTATCCCTTCAGATCTGGAACCATCCAGATGTGTTGTATGAAGCTCTGCAAAAGGAGAATCTGGCAAACGAGCAGGATTTGGATGTGGATGACCTTAGCACAGCAAGCAGTAATTCCCGCTGCCAGCCTCAGGGAATTAAAGTTAAAACAGAAAGCAATGCTTTGGCATCACCAGTTGGAGAAGCTACTAATAGCAAGTTCCTCCAGAGTGTTGGTTTCAACCCTTTCCAGGAGAGAGCAAATCAGGTTGTAACTTATGAGTGGGTGAGTGTCACTGCTGGAAAACTCTTCATTTAGGGAGTCTGAAAGACTGGACAGTTTTCTGAAGCAGAGCAAAGAGAAGACTCTTCTGTTTGAGTTGTGGGTTTCTCCTATGTTCTCTTTACCACAGAGCATCTTGATAAGCAGAACTGCATGGTGCTAGGAAGGGTTTGTGACTCTCAGGAGGTAAAAGTGCAGGCAGCACTCTTATGTCATTGTTCTCGTCTGACCAAAAAGGCTGTGGACTTTGTTATTCTAAATAAAGGTGTTAGGGTGAAGTTTGGTCTAAATAAGAGGGTGGTAAATCTAGAAGGATGGAGGAAAGCTCTTGAGATGAAAGAGTCATGAGAGGTTGAGAGGACAGCGAGAACTTCTTCATTCATGGAAGAAGTTTGTCATTTGGAGCTTCTGGAATGGGAGGTAGCAGCAGTAGTTGGGAGTAGCTTGGTCACCTCAAGCAACTGGATGTAAATAACCTTGTTGCCATGATTTATTTCTCTCACCTTGAGACAGGGAACTAAACAGGGAATGAGCAACTCCACCTGTAATAGTCTCCCGTTTCTTGGTAGGCCAAAGACATCCTGTGTGATTACCAGACGGGAGTCCTGGAGAACTCACCCAAGATGGTGTTACTTTTCCACCTAATTGAGGAAAGTGTGAAGCTTGGAGACAAGATCTTGGTCTTCAGGTAAGCAGAGTATCGCCAACTGATCCTACAGTCATTAAATACTGGAGTAGTTGGATCCTCCCTGGTACTAGGAGGTTTTTACAGAGGATGAATGGTGTGGCAGCTCCCCTTTTTTCTCCTTTGTTGTATTAATGTGGATTTTTATCTGTGGATAAAACTTCTGCCACTGTCACATTTACTAGTGAGGGGTGTGCTGCACAAACAGGGTTTGACAACCATCAGCACTGTCATGGTTGGGGAAGGTTTCTGATACTCCGCTTCTGCTGCTGGGGGACTTTTTCCTGAACACAGATCTTGGTTTTGCAGCCAGAGCTTGTCCACCTTATCTGTCATTGAAGAGTTTTTGGCAAAGAGACCGATGCCAAGTCCTCCAGGCTCAGATGGAGGAGTTCACAACTGGGTCCGAAACATCAACTACTACAGTGAGTGCATCCAGTCCTCCTCTCTTTTGTTGTAACAGTGTTTGATCATATGAAGGACTAACTCCTGAAAGTTGCCCACCATCTTCTTTTAGCTGTCTTTGGGTGTGAAAATGCTCTGCTGAAGCATTCTTCTGATGAACCTCTTTCAGACTTCTTACTTTAGTTGTTTTGGAAGGCAATGTCAGTTGGATAGCAGCTAAGCAGTAATTTCCAAATCCTCTTTTGACATCTTACTTAGAAGATGTTAGACATCTTTGACATCTCACTTACACACTACTGCTTTTTTTAAGTTGCAAAAGATACTTTTTGCTTCCTGTTGGCCATTTGCTAGATCTTGCTCCCAAAACCAGAATCACTGTGAAATGCTTTCACTTGCTCAAGACTGTGAATTCCTCTCCCTTATTCCCCAGCTTTAAATCTTTTTCTGGTGTGGGTTGTTGCTTTGTGTGGCTACTTTGCAGGCCAGGACTGAGAAGAGTGGTGGATATGGTGTTCCTGATTTTTGCAGAGCTGCCAGAAGCAAGCTGCTGCTCAGGAACAGAGACATGACACCCCCCGCACTCCTTAACACCAGCACTCTCTGTGCTCAGGTCTAGTTTCTAGGGGTTTGCCAAAGCCTTTACAATTTTGCTTTCTCTTGATTCCTGGAGCTTCCTGCATGCATGAGGCCTTTGTTCCTCTTGTTCCTACTTGCTATCCACCTTGCCTAAAGCAGAGCCTTAAAGGGCTAGATGTGTTGTAGTGCTCCTAGGTCTGGCCTTGACAAGCTTGAGTAATGTTTACTTGATCTTTCAGTTGATCAAGTCCCAACCTGGCTGGCTGCATTGCACCTGCCTTTTTGGGCATATTACAGGTACAGAGTGGTCCAGTTGAGATCCTGGAGTACAACTTGAATTGGTTTGGAACCAGTTTCAAAGCTCAGTGTTTGGAAAGTGGGTTTGTTCTGATAGAAATGCCCCAAACGTACAGAACTTTTACATGTATCTTTAATTCCTTTGTCAGGACTGGATGGCAGCACCTCTGCCTCGGAAAGGGAACGGTTGATTAACCAGTTCAATGATCCCAGCAATGCCTCTGTTTGGCTCTTCCTTTTGTCCACACGGTGAGTTGGCTGCAGCAGAAGGGCACGGGGGAGGACTCGTACCGATGTTCTGGATGCATGTGGCTTTTCAGTTCTTAACTTCTTCTGTAATGTGCTCTCCATGGTGTGATAGTGCCATCTGCTTCTGAATTCCCTAGGGATGTAGGATTTCAGCCTTAGGCCTCTGCAACAGCTTAATAGTCTTGGAAACCAAATGGCTTTAAAGTTTGACTGGAGGAAACTTTCCATAGACCCTTTATGGATTGTTGGCTGTGATGGTTGTCCCAGCCTGGAAGTTTTGAAAATTGACCAGGACAGCAGTTTGAAATTTGCCTTAATTTTCCAGTGCTGGGTGTTTGGGTGTGAACCTCATTGGAGCAAACAGAGTGGTGGTGTTTGATGCCTCCTGGAACCCATGCCACGATGCCCAGGCCGTGTGCCGGGTGTACCGCTACGGGCAGAAGAAGCCGTGCCACATCTACAGACTGGTGTCTGATTACACCCTGGAGAAGAAGATCTATGACCGCCAGATCTCCAAGCAGGGCATGTCAGGTGAGTGTGGATGAACACAACGTTCCACTGTCAGCTTTCACTCCTCTTAGCTCCTGTGAGTCCTGTTTCTGTGGGTTTTGTAACTTCTTTTTTCAAGGTTGAAAAACAGACAAAGAGGTGACAGGCACCATCCCAGGGCTGTGTTTGATGTTTGAGTTGGCAGTGACTTGGGATCCTGTAAGAAAGTCATGGTGATAGAGCCAGCATCCTGCAGCAAGGCTGTGGTCCCAGTCCACTGCTGTGCCATTTACTTCCCCTGCTCCTCTTCTGGTTACTGCAACAGACTGGAGACACAGGGGGTTGCTCATCCTATTTTCCCCTCTGCCTGGATATTGCTCATCTTAAACTGGGTGTTACTACTTAAATAGCTCTGTATCTCCATTTTCCTGCAGTAAGAGAGGGAAAATAGCTAAATTAAAGCATATATTGACACCTTTGACTGTTAATACTTGCTTAGGTGCCAAGAATAATTAATTCATTGTGGTTCTGACCTGCCTTTGTACCATAAGTATCTTTTGTGCTGGCTTGTTCCAGTTGTCAAGCTGCTCTCATAGAATGTGCAGCTGAGGGTTGTGGTGACCCAAAGAGAGCTCTATGTCCTTCTTTGCTCAAAACTCCAGAGGCAGCAGTCCAGCGTGATCAGCTCAGTTTGCTGTTGTGCACTTGAGATAGAGTCTCCTGGCAGCTGGCCTGGCTCCCAGGAGAGTCCTGGATAGAGGTGTTTTCTCCATGTGCTCCCATTTAACCTTTGTGCAGGAGGGAATGTTCAAGGAAAATATTCAGGCTCTTGTGAGTGAGGGAATGTGGCTGCTTTTCTGAGCTTTCCACTTTAGTACATAGTTATTAATTTGAGCCTTTATGGTGGGATTTGTGGGAGAACACATACTGATGTGGCAGCAGTTCTGTCCCAGGATGGGTATGTTTACAGCCTTGTTAACATGAGATGGAACACTATCCATAACTAGTTTTGTGTTCCTGTTTGTCAGGAGCTTGGTGACCTGCACAGCTTTGCTGTGCAGTCTGGAACACAGGCACTTGTCAGCCTGACTTGGTCAAACAGGCTCAGCTCTGAACATGATGACTTTTCTCCTTGCCCTGACATTTACAGAATATTTCTGGGGATTGTGTAGATTGCAGGGAGGGAGCTGTATTAGGACAGAAGTGTAGGAAGGGCAACAGGCAAGCAGTGCTGATCTCTTCCCTTGTCTGCTCACTCTTTTGCTCTCTTTTCCAGATCGGGTGGTGGATGATCTGAACCCAGTGCTGAACTTCACTCGACGGGAGGTGGAGAACCTGCTGCATTTTGTGGAAGAAGAATCTGACCCTGCTCAGCTCTCCCTCAATCCGAGCAAGATGAAGGAGTCTGTTCTACAATTAGCCTGTCTCAAGTATCCTCACCTCATCACCAAGGTAAGACTAACCTGTTTCTTTTCTGGCACTGCCCTGCACAGGCAGGAGTGGGCCTGGAGGAGTCTGGCAGTGTGATGGGGCCATGGTGGCAAGAAGGATGCACCTAGGTGCTGGTGGGAATAGGCAGAAAATTCTCTAGAGAGGACCCAAAGATCCCTGCCCTTCCCTGTGATATTTTCCTCTCATCTAGAAATACCTCTTTCCTGTACAGGTTTGGGGGCAGGTTGTCAGGCACCCCTTTCTTCAACTTTGTGCTGGGTGTGAAGGTGGCAGTGGAATATCACAGCTTGCTGCCAGCTCTTCTCCTAGGGTGACTTTAAACCAAAGCTGGGACAGGCAGCACTGGCCTGTGCTGTCAGGAGTGTCACTGGCAGGGTGGTGCTGCAGAGTGGGCCTGTGCCAGGTGCTGTGGGGCTCTGGGGGCTGTGTGACATCGTGGCAAGCTCCATACTTGTGCTCTTAGCCTGGCCAAAACTCCTGGTTTTTGCTGTGTGCTCGTGTTAAGTGATGGCCTTGGTTGGGCAGGTGATGGCATTAGCTGGCTGTCACCCTTCAAGATGAGCCTTGGGCACATCCACAGCGGTGCCCCCACTCGTGCTTTGCCATAGCGAGCTCTGCCAGCGTGGGAAGGAGACAGGCTGCGGCAGGAGCAGGCGCTGCCGTTGGGGGTGTGCTGGTTCCCTCTTGTGGCGTGTGGGTGCCAGAACCGCGGTGCTGTGGGGTTGCAGGAGCCTTTTCAGCACGAGTCACTGCTGATCGACCGGAAGGAGCACAAGCTGACCAAGGCAGAGAAGAAAGCAGCCAAGAAGAGCTATGAGGAGGAAAAGCGAGCATCCGTCCCCTACACCCGGCCGTCCTACGCACAGTATTACCCAGCCAGTGACCAGAGTCTGACAAGCATCCCTGCCTTTAGCCAGAGGAACTGGTGAGCACCTGCCCCTTCCCTTCTCCCCACACTGTAGCCATGAAATGAAGGGGCAGATGATGCTTATCACTGTGGGGCAGATGCTGCACTCTCCTCCCTCCTCTCTCACTAGGCGACCAGCCCTCAAGGGTGAAGACAAACCAGTGGCAAGTGTCCGCCCAGTTCAGTCCACCCCCATTCCAATGATGCCCCGGCATGTCCCCATGGGTGGTGCAGGATCAACCTCAAGTTCCAACCCTGCTGTCAACTTTCCTATCAACTATCTACAGCGAGCTGGTGTCTTTGTGCAGAAGATTGTTACCACCACAGGTGAGTTGCTACTGCTCAAAGTGGGTTGGGTCATGGATGCCCATGGTGAACTGAGAATCAGGGTGAGTTGTAGATGCCCATGTAGGCTGTGGGCAGATGGGCATCAGAGGCAGAGATACTGTCTCTCTGCATTTGAGTGGTTCCTCTGTGCCTGGAGGACTTTCCCTGCAGGTATACAAGAGCCATGGGCCTGGTGGATTGTTGGGAGTGAACTTTCCCGGATAGCACGTGCAGTACTATTGCTGGTGGTTCTGGAGATGCTGTGCCAGGACAGCATGGCTTTAGCTTTCTTGGAGCCTCTGCTGCCTTCTTGTGCTGTTTAGAAATAAACCCAGGGCTTGCTTATAGCACAGCACACAGGAGAGACAACTGCACTGCAAAAAATGGGGTTGGTGGTGCATCTGCCCTCTCCTGGCTGTGGCTGACATGTACTTTAATGGCCACTACTCTGTTTCTTTCCCCACTGCCAGATATTGTGATTCCGGGTACAAATACATCCACTGATGTACAAGCTAGAATCAGTGCTGGCGAGAGCATCCACATCATTCGAGGGACAAAAGGTAATTCTGTCCTGCTAAGACTTGTGGATAGGGTCCTAGCCAGTGCTAATTAGCAGAGAAAATTATGTAAAGGCATGAATCAATCCCTTGAGAAAAAAAGAACCAAGAAGGGAAGGAGGTCTTGAGTTTGCAGTGACTCTGTTGCAGCCCATGCTCTGAGTGTGCTGATGCTGCCTGGCTGTTGCAGCTGTGGCTGCTTCTGTCCCTGAGAGGAACTGTTGAACTTTGTGGCTCAGTTCTTCCTTCTCACAACACTCACTGCAAGTCCTGAGGCAGCCACACACTTCCTGGTTCTCCCAGAGCAGACTCTGTTTCAAGTGTGAAGTTCCACATTTCCCACTGGCAGCACACTGGGAGGGGGTGATCTCCAGTCTAGGAAAGCTGAAAGGGTGAAAGAGGAGGGTGAGGAAGGGGCTAAAAGCCCTCCTGGGCCTATGCAGCACTGCTGTCCTATTCTTGCCCAAGGAAACTTGCAGGCTCATAGATCCTCAGGCTCATAGGTTCTCAACTGAGACTGGAATTGTAATGAAGTTTTGAATGAAGTTGTCCTGCCTCTGTTCCAGGGACGTATATCCGGACCAGCGACGGTCGGATTTTTGCCATACGGACCACTGGGAAGCCAAAGGGCAATGAAGACCGTCGGACAGCTGCCTCAGGTAGGGGCTTGTGGGTGCTGTGTGGGGCTTGCACATGTGCTTTCCTACTGGAGTGTCTGGGGCAGCATTCCCTGGTGTATTCCATCAAGTCTGTGTTTAGAGCTCACCCTGCCATATCCCCAAGATATTTCCACCTTCCTTTCCACTGTTGCATCTTGACCCGCGGGTTTTTCTCTGAGGTCGCGTTTCTCACCTGCCCCATCTCCTTGTTTGCAGGCTCCCAGAGCTCTTCCCTGGAGTCCACGAGCAATGGCAGACACAGTGCCTCATCCCCGCAGCTCCCCAGCGCGGAGGAGCTCACTCGGCCCATCTCCCCCGACAGCCCCGAGATCATCAGCGAGCTGCAGCAGTACGCGGAGGCGGCGGCCGCGCGCGAGTCCCGCCACAGCTCTCCCAGCAGCACGGCGCTGCAGGGCCACGCTGCCCGCACGGACACCGCGCCCGGCGCCGCCACCCGAGGAGCCGAGCAGCGCCTGGGGGGTCACTGCATGGCTCCCTCCGTGTCCTCGGCCCTGCCAGCCACCAGCCAGCACGGCGATGCCCACCCGGTGTTGGACTTACGGGGCAACAAGCGCAAGTCGACGTCGCCGTCGGCTCCGGAGGAGCAGTCCCGGAGGCAGCAGAAGAAGCGCCAGTTGCCATCGTCCACGCAGCCGTACGAACACGGGTACCCCGTCTCTGGTGGGTTCACCATGCCTCCTGTCTCTTTAAACCACAACCTAACCCATCCATTTGCCTCCCAGCCAGGAAACTCCTTGTACATGGGCACTGGCTCCTCTTATTACCAGCTGCCCAATTTACTCCCAGACCCTCATCTGGTGTTCCCTGTGACTACTGACCCTCTGCTGACAGCCGGCACCGCCAGCTCTTCTGCTGCTACCTCAGCCACCGCCAGCGTCCCCTCATTCATGCTAAACCCTTCTCTGGCAGGGGTGCTGCCCAATTACTCGCTTCCCTTCACGCAGTCACTCCTGCCCGAGCCCAGGATGTTCGCTCCTTTCCCAGCCCCCGTCTTGCCTAGCAGCCTTCCCAGGAGCATGGCATCTGCCTACCCTGGCTACATGTCCCCTCACTCGGGCTACCCAGCTGGGGGTCTCCTTCGGTCCCAGGTGCCTCAGTTTGAACCCCAGGAGGTCCCAGAGGTGGGATGCAGCTCTAATGACGAGGACAAAGACGACGATGTCATAGAGATCACAGGGAAATAAAAAGGCCCAGCTCCTGCTCAGTCTCAGCTCTGCCAGGAGGCAAAAGTTGCAGGACCTTTTTGGGAGTCAGGATTTTCCCTCTGGGCCACGGCAGTGGGTGGAGAAGGATGCGAAGGGTGTGGCGTGGGGGTGGTTTTGTTCTTTTCGTTTGGTTTTGTTGTTTTTTAGCTGTCAAGGATAAGAATTGTATTAGGGGCTGGGAGATGGGAGAGGGATAGAGTGGACCTTTGAGAGCTGGGGGAGCAAGAGCCGGGGAGGAGGGAAGCAGCAATGCAAACTGTAGGAGTGCCTCCCCCCACGCTCTGTCTGTCTGTCTGTCTCTGTTCTCTGTCTTGTCTGGCCGTGGAGGCTTGGTGTTGTGAGTCACTGCCCTTCTCAGGCCTGGAGGTGCAGGCTTGACTGCTGGCAGGGCCGAGCTCCCTCTCACATGAACTGCCTTATCTGTGAACTTCTCTCACTGCGAGAGGGGTGGGCCGGGGGTGACTCCACCAGACTCCACCTTTGTTGGGGACAAAGTGTTTTTAATGGGGAGGGAGTGGGGAGGCATCTACATTGTGTATGTTGGGGCAGGGAGGGAGGGGATTGATGTCAAATAAAAGAAGAAAGAAAAGAAAAAAATATAAAAAAAAAGAAAATACCCCACAATTTGTCACCCTCTTCAAATTCACATGAGACTAGTGTGAGTGGAGGGCTCCAGGCAGGCTCCTGTGCCAGGGCTCTGGTGGGGGGCTCCCCCAAGCCCTTCTGGAGGGCCCCATCCAAGGTAGGTTGGCCCTGTGAGTCTGATGCCACCTCTATGTGCTAGGCCAGATGAGTGGAGTGCAGCAATGCCACATGTCTTGGTGGCCATCAGAGGGGAATCCTGCTGACTTCCCTGTATCCTGCCAGGCTATGTGAAGGCCACGTCTCATCCTGCTGTGGCCCACCAGATCCAGGGGTGGGTGGGCTCGCTGCTGCTTCTGAACAGCACCAGGCAGTGGAGAAGGTTGGGAGGGGATGCTGGACCAGTGCCAGTTGCTGTTGAATCTGTGACTGGAGAGACTTTCCCCTGCACAGAATCTCTACATTAATTTATTTCATGAAGGCATAATATTTATTGTCTGGGGGAATCTTTCTTTCTACTTTTAAATTAATTTCCATATTAAAAAAATAAAAAGCTGGCCTCCATCATGCAGTGGTCGCTTGTTGGGTTGTCTGTGTGGGGACAGAAGCAGATGGTTGACCAAAGCCTAGCCTAGGAGCAGGGCCTACTGTGGAGGTGGCCTGTGGCTGACCTGGGTGGCACCGGTTGGATGTGTTCCAACACATTCTGCCAGAGCATTCCAACACAGGACATTCTGCCAGAGCAGGAGCTGCTCTGGATGCTGAGCAGCTGGAGGGGGAAGATGGAATCCTCTTGTCATGGGGCAGGTGGAGGAGCACATGTGGAAGCCTCCTGTGCTCATTCCCAGTGAGAAGAAGGAGAGCTGTGAGGTGTGTGGAGCTGGGAAAACAGAGCTCTTGCTGGGGCGGTGCCTTTCCCCACGCAGGGAGTGCAGAGCCTGGTCCTAGCCCTGCCAGCCAGCATCCCAGCTGCTTCTTAGGGCCAGGGCTCCTAGGGAGAGGCTGGGATACCCAGGTGCAGCTGGACTTGGAGCATGTGTGTGTGTGTGTGACCACACTGGGACGGACACGTGAAATGCAGGAGCCTCCGTGTCACATCTGGGTATCGCCATGCAGGAGCTGTGCTCGCCTGCCTTGGATGGCCCTGGAGCTGGTGGTAGCCTGTAGGGGGCCCCTAGGCCACGGAGGCTGCAGTCACTGGTGCTTGCTGGGACCAACTAGGTGTAGGAAAGGGCAGGATGTCCTGACATCCTCCACCAAAGGGGTGCTGGAAGATGGGGACCTTCCTTCCTTAGAGAGAGGGTTGTGTGTGCACGCGTGTGTTACGGAAACACAATAAAAAATGTTATGGGGCTTTCCTAGTGTCTTTCTCTGTTTAATGGACATTGTCTGTCAAACATAACCACACCATTCATAGAAGCCTTAGATCAACAGTTTAGCTATGCAAATTATTTTAATTATTTTTTTAAAAAAACAAACATTAAAATAGTGCTTTCTTCTTTAACATATCCTAGGAGTTGAAAACCGAGGGGTTCTGAGCAAACTGCTGGACAACTTGTCTTTGGATGCACCATGGAAATAAAAATCAAACCCCCCCACAAAAGTAACAAAGCAAATTAACTGATGGTGTTCATGCAAGTTTCTCCAAAGACTTGACAGTGCTGCATCTGTGAGTCATGCCCTCCTGTGCTCTGTGTGTCCACTTCATGCACTACCCTGTGACACTGATTGTATGACCAGCTTGCCCAGATGTCCGTTGCATCCCTGTGAGGCTGTCAGTTTTCCTGTGGATTTGGGGAATGGACCTAGGCAAGGGCTTTCCTTGTCAAGAGTAGCAAGTGTTGAGACCTGCGGGCGCGTGTGGGAGGTGGGAACATGAGCAGACCCCCAGAGCTCTGCAGCCACCCCAGCCCTTCCTGTGGGGGTCAGGGTCATGGGGCTCATCTGAGGGACCCTCCCACGTCATCTCTGAATGGGGCCTGTGCTGGGACAAGGTGTGAAGATGTGGCTGGGGGCAGTCAGCACCGTGGTTGGATGTGGTACTGGTGGCTGCACACCTCTCTGCTCCTCGCCTCTCCAGGAGAGCACACAGGGCTTCCAGAGCAGGCCCTGGCACATCCCTGTGCTGCCACCTGATGTTCTCCAGTGGTCCCCCAGCAGAGCCTGAGCCGTGTGGCTGTAGGAGCTGAGGATGGCTGCCATTCCGCTGCCATAGGGTGCAGGATGTGCTCCAGGCTGGCTGTTAACCCAGCACCAGGGCAAGGTGTGAGGGCTGTTCTGCTTCCTGCGTGGCCATGGCCTGCACAGCCCTGGCACCCTCCTGTGCTGTGGCTGCCCTGTGCATGACCCGCTGCTGGCAAACATGCACAGCCCAGGCAGCTGCAGTGCAGGGGCCCTGCACAGCAAGTGCCCCAGGGCAGCCCCAGCTCTGCCCCAGCCACCAGCCCTGGGGCCCCTGAGGGAGGGGATGGGCCCTGGCAGAGCCTCGGCTGAGATGGTCACAGAGATGCCCTGACCACAGGGCTGCCATGGGAGCTGGCAGTGGCTGGGGCTGCTCCAAGGCACCTCCTCGCCCATGGTGCCATGGGAAGGATTTCCTCTGCCCCACAGAAGCCACAGGGGGGTGTGGGTTATCCCCAGTGGGAGGAGCTCTCTAAGCTCTAAAACTCCCCTCCCCTGGGGCCTGCTCTTCTCCCTCATCTGCTCTCCCCAGAGGTTTCTCCTCTCCAGCATGTGACTCTACTGCAGAGGGCTCTCTCTTGGTTTTCCTGAGCTTGGAACAGGGGCTTTCCCTGCACGGGTTAAATTCTTCTTTTGCTGCTGAATTTCTGTCTCCAAATGACCTGATGGGAAGCAGCTGCTGGTTCTCAGAGGGGCTGCGGGTGACACTGAGGACAGCAGCGCAGGACTCTCTGCAGAGGGTTTTGGACAGTAAAGAAGATTTCTGAGCACAGCCCAAGGCCAGGGCAGATCTGTGGGGTCCTTGGGAATGGTCAGCTGGCCTCTACACTGGCACCCAGCCCTTGGCCCTTGCCTTTGGTGGGAGGTTTGCTCTCCTGGGGACAGTCGGGTGAAGGCTGGGTACTTCTGTGGCACAGTGCCATGGGCATGGGGTGACTGCTGCTCTGTGCCCTGGGCTTGGTGGGCTTGTTGCCCCCACTGCTGCTGTGGCTCTTGGGGCTTCCTGGGGGGCTGCAGGGTAGGTGCAACAGCCCAGCCTGGCCCGTGTTGGGCAGGATCTGCTGCACATTGTCCTGGAGTGTCTGGGAGGGTGGGGTGGTTGGGTGCAGCTACTTGGAGAAAGCAAATGTTCTGGCAAGCAAAGGGTGGGATTTCCATGGGGTCTTCACTAGAAATTATGTGTATTTTGACTTAATGATGTCAGTGAATCATAGAATGGTTTGGGCTGGATCTTAAAGATTGTCTTGTTCCAGCCTCCCTGCCATGGGCAGGGATACCTTCCACTAGACCAGGTTGCTCCAAGCCTTGTCCAGCCTGGCATTGGACATTTCCAGGGATGGGGCAGCCACAGCCTCTCTGGCTGAAGGTGTGAGGATTGCTGCTGTTTTGGGGGTGGCATCCAGGCCAACAGGGACAAGTGCAGCAAATATCTTCACAGCTGGTATTTCTTGCCACCCTGGAACAAATTTTGTTGATCCTGTCTTGGAAGGACCATGGGTGTGGGAGGGCTGGGGTGGGGGGCAGAGGTTGAACAGGGACCATAGTCCAGCTAGATTACAGTGAGGGATGGCTCCTTGCACCTTGGAGCAAGCACTCCCTGTGAAGGGACAATGGGGCAAGTGAGGGAGAGCAACCTCTGCCACCTCCCGGACCACGACCACTGCCTCATGGTGCTGCTTCATGGTGCCCAGCTCGGAGCTGGAGTCTGGCACATCCATGGGAGCCTGAAGGAATCCATCACTGAGTCTCATTTGGGGTTTTCTGTTGGTTTGGGTTGCTTTTTCTTTTTTTTTTTTCCTTTTCTTTTTTTACTGCCGCCTTAGTTTGTGGCCTGTCTTGTTGTGGTTGGAAAGAGTATTGCTACTGGGCGGGTCGGTCGGTTTGCCCCACGCATGATCATGTGCTTCCCTCTTCTCTCTGTCCAACGGGATGTGCTCGCCTGATCTCCCAGAACAGAGACTTTGAACAATTTGTTGTTTATATGATGTATTTATTTTTACTTGTGTTTCATGTCATTTTTTAAAAAAATAATAAATTGTAAGTTGGTATAACTGCCTGTTGCTTCTCCTTTTTTTTTTTTTTTCCTCAGTAAAATAAATGTCAAAATGAAAAAAGGAAAGTGGTGTCGTTTGAAGTGGTTGGAGCTGGGCTGGGCATGAGCATCTCTGCACACCTGGAGCCCAGCCTCAGCCAGCAACTGTGTCCTGCTGCTTCCAGCAGCACCTGGGCTCCATCCACACCTCGGCAGCCCACCAGGTGAACATCCTGCCGCCTCCAGAGCAGAGGGCGGCATCACACGGCTGGCCCTGGCCCCTCCCTCTGTGCTTATTATTGCTGCGGCTGATCGTCAGTCAAAGCCGGGGAAAGCAAGGACAATAAATATTCTGCAGGTAAATAGCTTTGAGCCTCGGGGAGGCGGCGCGGGCTGCGTGCCTTGGCCCCGGTGCCCCGTGGGGCGCGGAGAGGCGGCGGGGCTGGCGGGGGTTGAGGTAGTAACAGCGAGGCATCTCTGCACGGCAAGGCGAGACGTGTCCCGGAGCTGGTGCCGACGTGCGAGGAGGGCCCTGGAGAGATCGGGGAGGGAGCTGTGGGCAGCCCGGGCTCCCTCTGCCCCTCACAGGCCCTGCGGGTGCCTCCGCACCCGGCCGTTCTTGCTGTCCGGGGCCTGGTGCTGCCACTTGTGCCAGGCCCGCTGCCGCTGCCGCTCCTGCAGCCGCAGGGCGTTGCAGTAGGCGTCCAGGCTGGTGCCCGGGGCCCCCAGGGCCCGCGGGAAGCCCTTGGAGCCCGGCTGCAGGTCAGTCCGGGGCCGGGGGCTCTGCTGGGTCCCTCCCGGCTCAACGCCCTTGCTCCGTTTGTACGGGGGCAGCGCCGCGGCCTCATGCCTGATGAGGCGGAGGCTGTACCGGGTGAGGAGCCGGGAGAAGGAGCGCTCCACCGCCAGGCACTCGTAGGTGCCCACGTCCTCCCTCGACAGCTGGCGGATCAGCAGCCCTTGCTCCAGCACCAAGAAATGTCCGTTGTTCCTGACCTGGGGCAAAGACAGAGCTCGTGGGTCAGTCCTTGGGGATAAAAGCCACCCCTGCTCCTGGTCCCTGCCGCCCTGTCCCCGTACCTCGCTCGGGGCCGTCTCCTCGCCGCGCCGCACCAGCCAGCGCATCGTGATCTGCGGGGAGCGCGCCAGGCACTCGAGGAAGGTCGAGTTCTTCTCCACCCCAAAAACCACCTTCTCCACCGCGGCTGTCCCTGCGCAGGGGAGGGGGTGAGCGCCCTGAGTGCGGGCTGTGTGACCGGAGGGAGGAACGGAGGGCAGCACGGACAGCCAGCCCGCGGTGGGGGCACTGGTTTCCCAGCGCGGTCCCTGCAGGCATGGCGCTCCCTGGGCACAGCTGGCTGCCCCCGCCGGAGCTGGTGCTCACCCTCTGCCGTGTCCTGGCACTGGCTGAGCGGGTCAGCCTTCAGCACGTCCTGGCAGCGGGCACGCCTGTGGGAGAGCAGAGAGGGCTGTGGGATCCCTCCTTGGCAATGCCTCAAGAAGGGGCACCAGGAAGGGGTGGGTTGCAGGCCGGCAGAGTGGCAGTAGGGGTCTGGCTGATGGGTAAAGCTCCAGGGCTGCCGCTTGCCCTTCCCTGCTCTGAACAGCATCACCTTGCAGGGGGGTGCAGGGCTGGCCCAGGCACACACCCACCTCTTCTCGGTGAGCAGGTGTGGGGCGCAGGTCTTGCTGTCCCAGGTGCAGTAGGGATCCCTGGCCAGGCAGCAGTCGGTGCAGGTTTTGCCGTAGAGCTCGCAGCGGTACAGGGAGAGCTGGTGCAGCCCGTGGGTGCTGCTCACAAACAGCTCCTGCTGCTCGGGAAGCAGGACAGGGACAGTCAGACCCACGGCTGGGGCTGGCAGGGAACAGAGCCCTGCCTGCGCTGGGGTGGAGACCGTGGGGGACAGTAGGAGTGCGAGACAGAGCCTGCCATTCCCTCAATGCCCTGGCAGGATCCTGTTCCCTAAATGTGGGCCCCCTGGGGCCAAGGGACCCGGCACAGTGGCTGGGATCAGCTGGCCTCTGTCCCTGTGCCCAGACTGCTTTAGAGAGAAGCAGAAGGGACACTCACCCGCTTTGGTGATAACTTCATGTCCAGGATGGGAGATGGTACCTGGAGAGGGAACAAGAGGGTGCTGCAGCCACGTCAGTCCCTACTGGGTGCCCTAGCCTACCAAGTAGGATTGTGTCCCCAGGGGTTACAGGATGCCAGGTCCCTGGTCACCAGCTCCATGCAAGGAGCCTGGGCCCTGGGCTGGCCCCCTGGCATGGGCAGCCCAGGACAGCTCGGCCCAGCAGCCCTGCTTTCAAACCTGAGCTCAGCCCTCCCATTTCAGTGTGGGCTCCAAATTGCAACGCACATGCCCCCTCAGGGACTGGATGGGGAGCTGGAAGATGACTTGGCTCCAGTCCCACTGGCACCCCTCGGTGTTTTTCTGCTGCCCAGGGTGGGTGGGAGCCCTCGGGGGTGAGGTGAGAACCTCCCTGAGAGCGGCAGTGTCTTCCTGCAGAGCCTGCAGGGAGGTGCCGCCGCCACGGGAGGCTGTGTGGTCCCACCCTCTCACTTCAGCCGCCTGTGCCACCCTGGCTGCCTGTACCTTAGTGACGCTGATCTCCTCCAGGCTGATCACCTCGGGGCCGCGGCTCACCCCGCCGGCCAGGGCCACCTTCAGGACTTTGCCGTCATCTGTGAAGGCAGCGGGCGGAGGAGCTGTCAGGGCTGGGACCCCCTCCCCGGGCTGGCGGCACCCGAGTGCCACAGGAGCTGCCCGGGGTGGCAGCGCTCCCAGGCCGGGGTGAGCTCCCACCTGTGCCGAGGAAGAGCACGTCGTAGTCGCGGCTCTCCGTGTCCAGCCGGTGCACCAGCAGCCGCCGCAGCCGGTACGGCACATTGACCCGGACCAGCACGGGCTGCCGGCCCTGCGGGTACACGGGCTCCCACATCAGCTGGTGGCTGCGCATGAAGCTGATCAGCTCGTCGGGGAAGTCCTTGGTGGACTGCAGGAGGGGGTCGTACGTCTCACTGGGGCACTGTGTGACATAGGGGCTGCATTAGGGCTAGCCCAGTCCGTCCCACTCCCCCTCCAGCTGCTCCCCGTTCCCTCACCGTGCCGGGGCGGGGGTAGGGGACACGGCCCTTGTATTCCACCCAGCGGTAGTCGAATCCCTCCTTGTGTGCGAAGGGGCCGCTGAAGGCGGCTCTCACGGCAGCCATGGAGTAGATGCAGACGGCAGAGCCACTGAAGACGCCACTGTGGGGAAGCACAGGGCTGTCAGTGTCCCCGGGCCCACGGGGACCAGGAGTGTGCACACCCACCCCCCCGAGCCCACGCTGTCCCTGTCAGCCCTGGGGTCATGCACAGCACCCCGGGGATGACAGGAATCGCTTTGACGCAGCCCGTGCAGCCTGGGGATCACTGACTGTGCCACAAAACTGTGGTTTATTGATATGCTGGTGAACAGGAGGGAAAGTGGGGAAATGCTGGCGGCCCTTCCTCAGCCTGCTGGGTGCTGGTGCTGCCCTTCTCCCCACAGAGCTCCCTCTGAGGGGGGCAGCATGGTGGGGGCTGCACTGTCCCACACAGGGCCCTGCTCACCTGGAGACCGTGAAGAGCCCAAAGACAAGGGGGTTCTGGGGGTCCCGGGTGCGCAGGAGGAAAACATCCTCTGCAAAGAGAGGGGTGGAGGTGAGGCACAGGATACACGTGGGCATCCTGGGGCCGTGCTGGAGGGAGCAGCCCTGGTGGAGCTGTGTTACAGGCTGGGCACTCACCCAGCTGGTCAAAGTGGGTCTCGGTGCCCTGAGGCCCGGGGATGGAGCACACCAGGCGGGCCTTCAGGAACGTGCTCCAGCGGTTGATGAGGCCGCGCTTCCCTCCAACATCGTTCTGCCAGGCACCAAGAGTCAGGATCAGTCCAGCCTCTCTGAGTCTCCTCCACTGCTGTGCCCTCCTCATTCCCATAGAGGGACACCCCCAGCCCTGAGCTCTCTGCCTGTGGTAGGTGTGCAGTGACACCCTCACATTCCTCTGCTTGGGATGCTCCTTGGTCCAGAACAGGTAAAAGCCCACCTGGTGGGACAACAGGCCACAGGGTGTTGGCCTTGGCAACTGACCTTGCAGACCCTGGCCACCCTGGCGTGGATGTGCCGCTGCTCCCACTGCCCAGCATCCATGGCCATCTCACGGAAGAAGATGTAGACTTTATCATCGTGGGGGTTGTATGTATCAGGAATGGTGTAGGCTCCAACAAATGTGGGCTCTGAGGGGGAAAGGAGCAGCACAATGTGGCCCTGTGCCCTGATCTCACCCTGTGGTACTGCCCTGAAAGCCCTTGGGAACGGTGTGAGGTGCTGAGGGGACACAGAGCACCATTCCCAGTGTTCAGGGTGTGGAACATGCGCTGGAACACAGGTCCCACCAGGGGCTTCATCAGTGCTTCCCCCCAGCAAGGAGAGAGGGCCCAGGTCAGAGCTCTGACCCCAGCGCTGGCCCCAGCCTCTCCCCAGCTGGAAGGAGAGGCCCCATTTCCCACAGGTGCCCCTGCTTCTACCGTGTAGCCAGTTGTCCTGGTTCTGCTCCGTGCGGATGTAGCTCTGCTCAGCCCCATGGACCCAGGTCCGGAAGAAGGCAGCGCTGCTGCCCATGAAGTCACTGGAGGTGCCTGAATACAGCTCCCCACCTGCAGGGTCGGGGGTGTGGGTGGGAAGCATCACCATCCAGCACAGATTATTCCCAGCAGTGCCCTCCCAGCCTCCCCTCTGCTCCTCCCTCCCTCTTACCGATGAGGAGTCCCGTGAAGGGCTCATGGGGGCTGTAGGGGCACCGTCCTCGCCCCGATTCCAAGGAGTGGGTCACCAGCTGCATGCGGGGAGCCCGGGCACCCTGCCAGAGCCAAGGGGGAGAGGTCAGCCCAGGGGGAGTCTGGGAACAAGCTGGAACTTGGGGGAAAGAGTGGGAAGGAGATTGGTGTGTCTGTGATGAGCGGGCTCCGCAGGGGGATGCCAGAACCTGGTCCCATGCCCATTGGGACACTCTGACACCCCCAAGCCAGAGCTGCTCTCTCCGTGTGAATGCCAGGGCCTGCACCAGGCTGGCCACACTCCAAGGCTCTGGGGCACCCTGCTCCCAGGGTGAGGGGTCCCTTGGCACCTTCTGCCATAGGGATTGTCTGTCCAGGTGCCCCTCACCTTCCCCCTGGCTCCCAGCTGGATGAAGGCACAGACGGGCTGGTAGGAGCCGGTGCCACAGGCGAACACATGGCTCTGGTTGAAGGGCTGCAGGAGGCGGATGAAGTTGGCACACTCGGTCTGCACAGGGGAGATGTTTGTCAGGGCTGAGCTGTGCTGACTGCTGGGGGTGCAGAGCCCGGCCAGAGCCTGTCCTGGCAGCTGCTCAGCTGGGCTCGGCTCCGGCTGGCTCCACAGCGCCATTCCAGGCAGACCCCCAGGCTCCCCTTCGGGCTGATGGGCTTGTTTAATATCAGCGCTGAGCTGCCAAAGGCGACGGGTGGGGGCTGCCAGCCCCACTTACCTCCACGTTCTTCCCTGCCAGCTGGCAGTGCTCGACCTGCTCCCTGGGGGCTGGCCAGAAAATCTGAAACACAAAGACCTCCTGGATGCAGCCCCTGCTTCCCTCAGCCTGCCGTGGCAGCAGTGGGAAGGGGCTCAGCCAGCAGGCGCTGCCAGGCTCAGGTGCACGGCAAGGACATTGCTCTGGCACAGGTCTGACACCCCCTGAGTCCCCAGTGGGCAGCCTGCCAAAGCAACTCGGAGTGACCCTGGCGTGGGGACAGAGCCTGGGCGTGCCGTGGCCCACCCAGGCTGTGGGCAGGCTCTCCTGGATCCCAGCCTGTGGGAACACCAGGCTGCAGCCCCTTAATGGGATTTTCTTTTGTTGGGCTCCGGCCGTACAGCCGGCCAGCAGGATGTCTTGGGATGACATTAGTGGAGTCACTGCTGGAGCTCTGGGGGCAGCACAGGGACTGGGTGTGACAGCAGGGCTCTGGGCACTGCCTGCAGTCCACCCAGGTCACATCTCCTGGCCAAGCCACCCTGTCCCTCTGGCGCCAGCCCTTCCCAGCAGGGCGCAGCCCCACCAGGGATGGGCTGACCCCACTGATTGAGACATCCTGGTATAAATGTGTCCCTGGTGAGGTTAGAACAGCCCAGTTCAGAGCACATCCACCTCCACGCCCTGGCGCTGGGACAAGGAGTGGTTGCCGGGGAGGAAGAGGCCAGCCTGGCCAGGGCTACCATCCTCCCAGCACTGACCTTCTCAGGCTCTCTGCTGGGATGGTCCAGGTGGAGAAGGAAGATATGGTTTTTTGCTCCCACCATCAGCCAGGCCCTGTCTTCATCCACCAAGAGGGCTTGGAAATCCATCCCATCCCCTGAGGCCAGCAGCAGGCGAGAGCTGTTGGATTTCAGCAGGTCTGAGGAGCACAAACAAGGTGGGAGAAAGAGAAACCCATCCATGAATGACACAATCTGCAGCCAGAGGCTCCATGCCTCCCTCTGGGACAGCTCTGGTTATCTATTCTTGCTCCAATGGTACAAGACATTCCTGCCACTGCCTTGGTGCTCCGGAGCTCATTATGGAGCCTTCTCAACATGCTTAGCTGAAGGAAACAGTCACTCCTACAGAGAGCAGAACTGTGCTGACCTTGCCCTGGCTGGGCTGTTTGCAGGCACAGGGCAGGACAGGGGTTCAGCCCCAGTATCTCGGAGTGCTCAGCTTCCAGCCTGCCTTCCAGAGGATCTCCTGGAGCCCCAAGGCCACCCTGAAACCATGGGCAGAGGATAGAGCAGAGAGGTGACTCACTTGCTGTGACTCCTGGTGTGTTTTCCCCTGGCTTCAGATCAAGGGAATTTACATTAAAAAGGTTTTTTGCTGTATGCTGGGGCAAACCATCCCTCCAAGGAAAGGCTGGGTGGAAACAGAGCCAACACAACCTGCTCTGAGCACCTTCTGCACCCACCCCTAAGTCTGTGAAGTGGCTGTTGGGCTCTACCCCATGCACAGGGTCAGGCAGGTGGATGGATGCACTGGGACTGACCTTTGTAGGGGAAATCCCCATCTGTGCCTCCAGCGCCACCCCAACCCAGCACCCCACATTTCCCACTCTGTGTCCTGAGGTGTGGCCTAAACCCAGCATTAGACTGGCTCAGGGAAAGATCCAGGGGTGCCCTGACCCAGTGCACTCCTTTGGGAGCAGAGACAGGTTGGAGGGAAAGGCTCTGCTCTTCTGGCTGCAGCTCCTCCTGTGCAGCTCCCCCCGTGCAGCTCCTCCCATGCAGCCGGGGCGGCTCTCCCGGCCCTTCTGGCACAGTTGTGGCCATGTGGGTGTGTGAGGAGGACAATAAGCTGTTGTGTCTTGGTTAAAACTCCGGAAACAACATCCCTGGGGCCAGTGCTGGTCCATGATGTGCAGGGCCAGGTCTGGGGGGGGGTCTGTGGGGCGAGCCCCCCCAGTGCAGCCAGAGCAGCGGCACCAACACGGGACTGCAGCAGCTGCCAGCCCCCAGCCCTGCTCCCAGGGACCAAGATGGAGCAAACCAACATTGGGGCAGTCCTTGGAGCTTCCAGAAGTCATAACACATCTCTTCCCTCTCCAGAAGAGACAGGATGTGGCTGGATACAGAGGGCTTGCTCCTCTGGTGAGGCTGCTCCTGGCCTTGGTGTAGTGCAGGGTAACGGAAGGGGGAGATGGGCTGCACTGGATGGGGGCTGAATGGAGGTGGAATGTGGCTGGAAACTCAGGGAAACCTGTAAGATCCGGGCTGAAAGTCTGCCCCAAGTCGCAGGGAGTGCAGCAGAGTGTCAGGAGCAGAGGAAGGAGGCGCTCAGGGAAGCCGGTGCTGGATGCAGCGCGGGCGGACGTGCGGCCCCGGCTGCAGGTGGGGGGGACGTGGGCACAGGCACGGCTCCATCCAGAGGGAACCGGCTGCCCCGGGAGGTTGTCTCACTTCCTTCCACTCCTTTTCCAGGGCAGAGGGGAAGCGAGGCCAGAGCCTGCGGGCTGGAGACGCCACGGATGTCCTCTGGTCCCTGCTGGGCCAGGCAGCGCGGGTCCCTGCCCGCATCCAGCGGCCAGGCTGGCTCCCAGCCGGCGCTTCCCTCTCCCCTGCTCCGGGCAGCTCCCGTGCCGGTGGGGACACAAATCCTCCTCTGCCAGCAGCAGCTCCCAGCCACATCAGGGAGCTCCTGGTTCTCCTCCTGCTGCCACAAAAACCACACAGCCCCCTTCCCTCGAGTGCCCAAGGGCTCTCTGGGTGCCAGAGATACAGGGCAGAAGGCTTCCAAGCCATTTCCCACCAGCTGAATGGGATTAACAGCTGAATTCCTGTCCCTTCCTGCGGGCCATTGTCCCTGCTGGATCTCCAACAGGGTGGGTGCATCGTTCACCCTCCTGTGTCTGCCAACGCTCCCAGGACCTTCCTGATCCAGGAGAAATGTCAGACAGGGCTCGGGGAGGGAGATTGGGGTGGGAGGGCAAAGGCTCCTCCAGTACCTGAGTGTAATTAAGGGGAATGGGTACAAGGCTGGTCCCAGTGAATGTCACTGGCTGCTCACTGCCTGACCTGCACCAGCCCTGTGTGAGGACAAGGTCAGGGTGCTGGAAGAGCCCTCTCTGCTGCCTCTGGTAGTACGTGGGAGAACCCTGGAAGGACTCACTGCCCTGCACTTGCACCCTCTGGCAGGTTAATGACCAGGAGGGTCTGAGCCTGACCCCATGGCTCTGCTCCCTCACCAAGGGGACATCGAGTGCTGGGATCCAGAGCCAGGAAGCTGCTGCACAAACCCCAGCCTCTTCTCACCCTCGGGTCATTAGATCCAAACCTGATGCTGGAGAAGGGGAACCGGGGGGGCTCTGCAGCAGCCATGCCATGGCCAAATCTATGGGTGAGCCCAGAGAAACATCCTCTCCTTTGTGTTCACTATCTCCCAAGGCCACGGTGTTTGTCTTTATTGCCGGGACCACTGTGGATGGCCTTGTCCCATCCATCATCTCCTCCTGCCCCTCAGCCACAGCATCCCCCGTGCAGGTTGACCTGGAGCTTCCTGGGGTCACAGCCCGGCTGTGCTGCCCTGTCCCCTTCCCCCTCACAGGCACAGCAGCCCACGGAGGAGATCCCTGGAGCCCAGGGCAAGCTTGATGCTAAATCAGGTTCTGGCCCCTCACTGCTGTTGGCTGATAAGGGACGTGCAGGGCAGCCCTTGGAGTGATAACAGAGCCCCGTGACCTCCCCGTGCTCCGGAGCACTTGCTGAGTGGTGGCAGCCTCTGAGTCCCGCCTGGCTGCAGATCAGAGGCTGGCAGAGGAGCCTGCGCCAGCTCCTGGGATGTTCCCGCAGGAGGAGCTGGCAGGGCTGCTGTGCCCTCCCTGCTGCCCAGCCTGGCAAAGGAGAGGCTGAGCTCAGGCAGCGCTGGGGCTGACCCAGCCTGACCCGGCCGAGCCCGGGCTGCCCCGTGCGCTATTCTAAACCTCCTCGGGGCTCTGGGCAGGGCGGGAGCCGCTGCTGCTGTTGCTGGCCCCGTGCCCTGTGCCCCATCCTTCCTGTGCTCTCCCGGCCCTCGCTGCTGTCATTTCCTTCTCTCGACCCTGCTTACGTGTCCTCCCCCCGCCCCACCGAGCCTCTGTCCGCCCCCCCCATCCGTGCTGGGATCTGAGGGCAAGGCTGATCCCGTGCATGGACTCTCAAAGCCCTCCTTTTATTTATTTATTTTTTCCTAGGGGTTTTTAAACCTAAACTTCCCAAGGCATTGTGTCCTTGAACCTGCCCCGTGCTGTCCATGAGTCACATCCCTTCAACCATTGTTCACTTCGAGCTTGAGCCCTCCTGATGCTGGGAGCTTCCTCTCCTGCCTCTGCCCAAGGCAGAGGGCTCTTGGCATGCCTGGCCCGGGACACTCTGGGGCTTTGAAGTCAGCAGTCCCCTTTCTGTCCAGCTGCCCCAGCAGCCCTGTCTGCCTCCTCTGGCTCCAAGGAAAGGCAGAGCTGAGCTGTTTCTGAGCTGGGCTACCAGCAGGGCCATCTCCTCACACAGATATCCTGCACCCCTGGGAGGTCCAGCCCTCTCCAGCCACAAAAGGGGAGCATCTTTCACCGTGCTGGTTGTCCCTGCCTGGAGAGCAGCTTCTCAGGGTGATGGAGTGGGCCAAGCATGGCCCTGGAGCCTGGAGTGCCCTGCCCATGGGAAAGCTGCTCCACCCTCAGGTGTGGAGAGGACTGGGCCAGCCTTCCCGATGGTCACATCCAGGGCAGCACTGGGGATGTGCTGAGCTGCCATCCTCCAAAGAAACTTGATGTTTTTCACACAGGAGAAGCTGAAAGCAGCTCAGTTGGCCACATCCTTGCTGCAGGCTCACGGCAGAGTGAGAAGCTGCCAAGCTGGCAGGGTTCTGCTCTAGCTGCTCAGGCCATTCCCCTCCAGGCACTCCCTTCCCACACTTCTCTGGGCTGTGTTTTGTGCTGTCAGTCTGCCCTTGCTGCATCTTCAGGTCACCAAAGCATCAGGCTTGAGAGGAGCAAACTGTGCCTGCCCTGAAGAACTCATCATGCAAACAGAGAGCCAGATGCAGGGAGGAAGGGAGAAGTGCAGCAGGGAGATGATCTGCACGGGGGATCAGTCTCTCCTGACAGAACAGGAGGGTCAAAAGCAGGAGGGCTGAGCTGGGGTAGGACTGTGGGGGTGGGAGGCAGAGGAAGAGGCTGGTGACACTGTCCCAGGGCTCAGTGTCCCTGTGAGCTGAAGGCAGGGGACATCCCCAGGGGTACCCAGCTCAGCCCCAGCCCAGGACACAGCTCTCCCAGCCCTCCCAGCAAGGTGCAGACCCTGAGGAACCCCCTTACCTTTGTAGGTGAGGCGGAGGCGTGGGGCGTGCTGCTTCCATGCCCTGCTGCTGCCCAGCTGCTGCAGGAGGAGGCAGAGCAGGAGTGTGGCCAGGGACAGCCAGTGGCCAGGGGCAGCCCTCATGCTGGCACAGGGCAGTGGGCAGGGTCTGCTTGCCCTCACAGCACCATGGTCCAGCGCCGAGATGCCACCTCCAATGCCAGCTGCAAGCAGAGAAGGGGGGAGGCTGCAGCTGTGGGCACTGGGAGGGCAGCTGTGGCTGGCACCCTCTTACCTTCCATCCCCTGGGGGCTCCAGCACATTCCATGCCCAGGGAGTTCACAGGGCAGCTGTTCCAGCCTGCCCAGGGGAGGTGTGGGGGGTGATGCCAGTGTGCCCACCTCATGTGGAACCTGGGAGAACTGGGATTTGGGCATCCTGGAGGTGACTGGTGTGAGGGCAGTAGCACCCTCCAACCCTCCAATGGGCTCTCACAGGTTGGGCATCCTCTGCTCAGGCTCCAGTGCTTGGCAGAGCCTCCTGAAGGATCCCTAATACTCATCTGTTCTCAGCTTGGGGTTAAACCTCCTCCCTTTCACTGAAAGGGGAATTCATGTTTTGGAGCACCACCCATAAATGCCATTTCTGTGATCTCCCCAATATCATCTGTGGCTCTGTGTGTGCATGACACATCTCTGGCTAGGATCTCTGAAATTCCTTGTCACCACAGAGCTCTCTGAGGCCACCAGCATCCGCTGGCTCCAGGGTGCTGTGGGTTGGTAATGCATACCCCCCTTTGGAGGGGTACAGGGGTTCACATCCTTTAACACCCCCTCTTTAATACCCCCCTTTGGAGGGTACAGGGGTTCACAGCCTCCCACAGCAGCTCCCACAGCCCCTGCCAGGAGCAGGGCTGGCCTGCCAGCTCTAACCACTTAATCCAGGCTACTTAGAGGCTTTTTCTCCACTTAATAAAAACCTGGTCCCTACATGGCAGCCCTGACTAACTCCCTCTCTTGCTGCATATTAACTTCTTCCAGTCCCATGACTGAAAGATTTAAAATGAGCTTTTTGGCTCATCCCTGGCCAGAGGCTCTTGGCACAAGGAGCAGGGGGTTCCTGCCATCCCAGCAATGGGATGTGGAAGGGGTGGTGGAGCCAAGTCTTTCCAACTGCCTTGCACAAGGAGGAGTGCTCAGCTCTGCCTAGGCAGGAGGTTTTGGGCTGGTGGGGTTGGGCTTTCTCTCCCTCCCAGCAGCAAACTGTGGTTGGGCTGGATCCAGCTCCTTTCTTGCCCCTTCCCTGCCTTCACTACTGCCTGGATCTCTGGTCAGCACAACCTGCTGCTGCTCCTGGTCCTTCCCCTGTACAGGAGACCTGGCACCACGCTGGGACATGGATGTGACCTCAGGGTGGTGGCTGTGCTGTGCTCTGTCTCTCTCTTTAGTTTGGGGCAGCTCTCTCCACCCAGCCAGCCCTTCCTGGGCACTTTTCCACATCAAACATTCCCTAGGGAGGGGACAAAAACCACCCCATGAGCATGATGGGTTTGGCCAGGTTCAAACTGCCCCTGGGTTGTGGAGAGGTGGGATTCTCTGTTAGGAACCCATCAGCCACGTGGGGATTCACAGCAGTGCTGCCCTTGCTGCCACAAACACCTCCCCAGCAGGCAGCAGTGACAAGCTGCATCTCAGCCCTTCCCTTGCCCAGCACCTGCAGTGCTGCCCCAGAGCCACCCTGGGCACTCACAGCCGTGCCCTGAGCCAGCACTGCTGCCCCAAGGGTCACCACAAGGACAGGGCTGGCATCTGACAGGGATTTTTTTTTCCTTTGCCAAAGTGTGTTGTGTTGCTGCAGGACTTGGGAAAATGCTGTCCTCTAATTGAAGGGTTCTATAAATGGAGCTGGGTCTGTGCTAGGCTTGACTTTGGGCTAAGGCAGACTTGTAGGAACCTTTCATGACCCAGGGGATGCCAGGGCAGGCTGGGATTCTGCGGATGGCAGGCAGGGCACTGCTCCTGCCTCGGGACACGTTCACACACGGTGAATTTAGGGCCAGGCATGCACTCCCCTGCACAGCTCAGTTATACCAGAGCTCCATCTCCTGCCCTGGGAATGCCAGAAGCAGGGCTGATGGCAGCAGGAGCCACAGCCATGCCCAGGAGGGTCCCAGAGCTCTGGCAGAGCTGGGCACAGGCATAGGAAAGTGAGGGGTTTGCAGCAGATAAGGAAATTAAAAAACTGCCAGAGGATAACCTCCAGTAAGAAACACTTCCCACGGGTGTCATCCCTCCATGGGTATTTAGGGGCTCCCTCCCATCGTGCCCAGGCTGTGGTGAGGCACATCCAGCTCCTGACACCTGGCTAAAATCCTGGCACAGCCCCCTGTGCCCACAGCCCCTGACACAAGGACATCCCTGGCTGTGCCAGTCAGTGCAGGGACACCGGGAAACAGATCAGCTGGAGGGGAAGAGCTCACAGAGTTTACACAGAGAGGGGGAGCTCGGGTGCCTGGTGGATGGAAACAAGCTGGGAATGATGAATCCAGGGTTAAATTAAACACTCCCGACAGCTTTAAATAATCAACTGTCCAGAGCTGCAACTCTTTCCATCTCAGTTTGGAGAGGGAAGTGCTGATGAGGGTGGGCTGCCGAGAGAAGGTGGGGGCAGAGGGCTGACATTTCATACTCCAGGCACCACAGGACTCTCAGGGGAGGACTTGGGGGATGGCAGAGCCTTGTTTGGGGGGCTGGCAGTGACCAGCAGTGCCAGGCATAGGTGGCACAGGTGGTGACACCACGGTGCTGGGCTGAGTCTGCCAGCAGTTTACCAGGTGCCCTGGTCCCAGCAGCTTCCCTGTGCCCTCCCTCCCTCCCCTTCTACTGGAGATCTGCAGAAGAGACAGAATCACAGAATGCTTTGGGTTGGAAGGGACCTTAAAGGTCATCTTGTTCCAGATGATCACAGGGCAGGGATGCCACCCCACTGGGTCAGGCTGCTCTGAGCCCATCCAACCTGGCTGTGAACACTTCCAGGAATGGGGCATCCACCACTTCTCTGGGCAGCCTGTGCCAGGGCCTCACCACCTTCACTGTAAAGAGTTTTTCTTGACATCTAGTCTAAATCTCTCCTCTTTTAGTTGGAAACCATTTCCCCCTTGACCTAGCACTATCTGGCTGTGTAGAAAGTCACTCCCTCATTTTTATAAACTGCCTTTAATTAATGTAAGGCTGCATCGAGTTCTGCAGAGAACAGAAGTCCAGCAGGTCTGAGGTTCTGGGCTGTCACACAAAATTCCCTGGAAAGCCTTGCCAGAGAGTGAGCAGCCCAGAGAAAAGACAAATCCCTTCTGTTTGAGACGGGTACAGGAGGGAAATCATTTATCCGCGACAGCACCAATTTCCTCCTGACAGCCCCTTTGTGTTGCAATGCCGTGAATAGTTTAAAGCAGCCCAAATTTCGGAGGGGGAGGGCGCTGGCAGTGGGTTTATCAGGCTGTAGATTATCTCTGAGAGGGAGACATGCCGAGCTGAGCTCCCGCAGCACCAACAGCGGCTCTGCCATGTGCTCGTGGTTTCACAGCCCCGATTGTGTCCCGATAATCCCCAGCGCGCTCACAGCCTGCTGCCTTCTCCGCTTACACGGCGGGGCTGCCAGGGCCAGGGGGCGAAATGCTGCTCCCAACAGCTGGGGCACCTCGAGGGCAAGGAACGGGGGGAGGAGAGGCACTGCACCCTAGTCAGCATCCATGCACAGGGATCATCCCCAGCAGGCCACAGAAGCGCTGGGCTAGAACTCGCCCTGAGAAGGGGGAGCCCAGACCCCCTCCATGGGGCTGGTGCTTCCCAAGATTCCCAAGCAGCCAAGCCCGGGCTCCCAGGCTCCTGAGGCTGTCCTGCCTCTCCCAGCACAAGCCCTGGTGTGGGTGATTCCCTCTCTGCCACTTTTGGGAGCCGGGACCAAGAAAACTGAGGGGCAAAGCCGGGGCGGGAGGTGCAGAGGACTCAGCCCGGGTGCCCATCCCGCGCACACCTGGGGCCAGCCGCGCTCCGTGCCGTGGGAATGCGGAGCCAGGTGTGAGGGGAGCTGCTGGCCCCGAGCCTCGGTGGGCGCCCTGCCCGCAGCTGTCCCGGAGACACCGCCTGGCCCTCCCTGCTCAGCCCAGGGCTGTGCCTGTCCCTCTCCATCCCCTGCGGGATGATGGATGCCCCGGCAGCTGCAGCGAGAGGCAGCTGTCGATTTCTCCAGTGGAAGGACAAAGACACATGGTGAGCCCTCCCTGCCTTCCCCGAGCTGCCAGGCTGGGGCAGAGCCAATCCCCGAGGGAGCCCGTGGTGCTGAGTGATTTGTGGGAGGAGGACGTGACGGTCCCGCTCCGTGACATCAAAGCTGGGACCACAAACCAAGTGCCAGAGCTTGGGTGGCACTGGGACAGCACGGTGTGCCCTGGGAAGCATCGGGGTCCCAGTGAAGCCTTCAGCAACGAGGTCACACACAGATCCGCAGAGACACAGGGAGGAGAATTTTGGAGGGGTTGGATAAGGGATTGCTGGGCAGCAGCAGAAGGCTGAGGCTGCTCCAGGCTCAGCCCCGTCACTGCCATCACACAGCCAGGGGCCAGCAGGATCGCATCCAGCCGGGACATCCCCCTCACTGCTGTCCCCTGGCTGCAGGGAGCCCCAGACCTCCCTTCCTTGCCAGACAACCCTGCTGGAGTGTGCCAACACCACGGGCAGGGAAGAAGCCTCCCAGCTGCTACTGGCACCCTGCAGACCCTCGGGATGTCACCCCTGCCAGCCAGGGGGGCTCCCCGCCCATGGGCACTGGGTGACAGTGGCAGTGGGCAGGGACAGCCCGGGGCTCTGGGTATTACCAGAGGGATAAAACCCTCTGACAATACCCAGAGCAAGAGCACAGCACAGTGCTTGTCTCCCTGAAGTTACAGCAGCTGCAGGCACGCTCCAGTTGGGACCACATCCTCTGAAAGCAAGTGGGGAATTGCCAAGCCTGAGGCTGGCCAGGGTATTAATAACTGTTTATGAAGGGATAAAGAGCTGGCTTCCCTTAACATCCTGCTAATCCCTTTCTTGAGAGGCTGCTGGCTCAGTCCCCACCTTTCCCTTGCTACTGAGAGGTGAAGGCTG